CCAATTCACTTCGTGAACTCGGCAACCAGGTTACCGTTTTGTTTTTACCTCTGTTTTTTTATGGCGGTAACCAAAATGGTCGTCGAGTTGATCATGTTGTGCGGGGTGGAGAACCCTCACTCCGCGCAAGGGGGATGATCGCACCACGTTGTGTTAAAATGGTCAAGCTTCCTCGAGGCAGTTACACAGTGCTTTTAACTGTCTCTGGAAGTGAAAACACCAGAAAAAAAATTAAGTCATACGCAGCTGTCATCCGTACGCAAGGAAGTAAGCACAAGATGCCGAACACCCTTAGCAGGATGCAGCGCACCCTTCATGCGCACGGCGCTTCGCGCTTGGTGATGTGAGAGCCTGGTCCGGTGAGAACCCGGCGTGCTCCGTCCCGGCTTTGTAGGGATGCGAGGTCAATGGTCAAACGACTACGGCATGCACGACTATGAGTACCCCCCCCCCCCCCATTTTCATGCAATTATCAACCCCCTCACCAAAACGTTTCCGAGACCCTGCCGCTTCGGGAGAGGTCCATCTCCGCTCCCTTCTTGCCCAGCCGGGACACGATTCGGTAGAGAGTCAGGGAGCAGAACACCGGCTCCAGCGCTCCGACCTTGAATGTGAGGGCTTGAGCCGCGATTTCCATCCACATGAAGTGCGCCGGCCTTGTTGTCAAGCGAAGCAAGAGGGACACGGGTGCGCGAAGCATGAAATAATTGGGGGGTGGGACACAGCAACAAGAATAACGTAAAATTCTAGAAGAAATCGAAGTTGTTCCGGCTGGGAACATTCCACAGAACATTTCACCATCCCGCACGAGGATTGCACACGGTCGGTGCTGCAGTACTTAACATGAACCTCATCGAACAAATCATCTGTGGGTTGCATGCTCTCTACCTGTGTTTTTTTCTCTCTCTCTCTCTCCCTCTCTGTCTTCGTCTTTGTCTCTGTCTGTCTGTCTCTCTTCTCTGCCTGCCTGTCTGTCTGTCTCTCTTCTCTCGCTGTCCGTCTCTCTCCCTCTTTTCTCTCTCACCTATCCAGCAGCAGAAGCTGCAGCTTCAAGTCCGGTGTCTTTCGGTAGGTGCTGCGGGGCCCCTTGTACTGCGGTCGGTAATAATGCAGCACCCGGACCTCCTTGCTCCCCGGCTGTCACGAGAGGCCGAGAACGGCAGTCATACGATACCGTAGAGAGGGGTCGCCGAGGGAGGGTGTGTGTGTACTCATCACTCATAGTCGTGCATGCCGTAGTCGTTAGACCATTGACTTCGCACCCCTTACAAAGCCGGGACGGAGCACGCCGGGTTCTCACCTGGGGGGGGGGGTAGGCGATACAAATACTAGGGTTTCCTCCAGCAACGACACGGAGCCTCTACTACTGTCGAGACTGGTCGTCCTTTCGGTTCTGCTGCCGCTGCTTCCTGCTTGAGCCTTCACCGCAAAAACAACAACAACAACAACAACAACAGCCGCTACACAACAGTGTGAGCGCTTACCTGCTCTTCCGGGTCGTCCGTGCCCACGGTAAATTTCTCCTTGTCAGGCACCTGGTGATCGTCGGCAGGGTACTGTGGCGGTTCCTCCGATCGATACTTGACACTGGAACGAGCACACACGAAAGGGTAGACGATGACAGTGTGTCGCGTCAATAAGCAGGCGGACCTATGCTTAGGCTGCAGCCTCTGTTTCGTCCATCCGGCAACAAGCTGGATAGGTATAAGCTGCAAACTTTCGCCGACCAATAATGGCATCGAACGGCGACATAAGCGTGTGTTGTATCTTGGTCTGTTGCACCAGAACATAACATCGCCCGCGCACACACAAAGCCGAGCCCCATGTGCCCACAGATTGAAAGACGAAAGGACAAAAAATCGACGCGCGATAAACGTAACACGGGCCCTTGTTTGTAAGCTTTGGAACAAGTTGTTCGTGGTACATAGTGCATAGGTCGCCGTCTAGGAGGGCATCGAGATAGTCCCGCTGCAGGTGAGGATGAGGATAGAAGTTGACGCTAAGATGGGATCCAACATATGACAAGATACCGGCCGTTGTGTACCTCTACTAGATTTACGACAAGAGCAGCAGTGCTAGTTTGCCTCGGCTACCATGCGCCGTCAACGAGTCAAATGACATTCGACTAGGAGAAACATGACATGGAGCATCCCCCCCCCCCCGCGCCCCCGCCACAACTGCCATGCCCGCCCTCCCTCCCTCTCTCTCACCAAGGAACCGACTTCTGGGACAGCCGCCCGATGGACAGGTTCACCCAATCTCGCGTGAACTCGTCGTACGCCGTGGCGAGAAAAGTCGTCGCTGACCCCCGCGCCAGGGGGGGCGGCTGGAACGGCCGGCCCCGGGGCGCGATGCTCACTTCGAGGTCGTTCACCGGGAAGATGAAGGTCGGCTCCTTGTCCTGTTGGTTGTTGCGTTTGTCCGTAGCGACACCCAGGAGCAGCAGCAGCAGCAGCAGTAGAGGTGTGGATAGTTACGCGTGCGGCACAACGAAACGGGACGTCGTTTGATGTTACGTGTCCATGTGTTTGCGTACCACCTTTCTGGGTAGTTGGGCTGTGGCCACGGAAGGCGTCCGCGGCAGTTGGACCAGGGTACTACGGATGTTGAAAGGTACTGGGCAGAGATCGGATAAGTGAAGACAACAAAAAAAATTAGCCTACTGCGGAACGGGAACTTTAAACGGGACGCCTTTATCCTCAGGTTATGTACAATTTTTTCAGCGCCAGAATTTGTCCTGTAGAATTGGAGCAGCGGCATTGGGACAGCCAGACAGAGGCGCTCCCAAACTATGGGCGCTGGTGCTCCTTTTCTACGAGAGCGCTCCAGCCAAGGTTACATGAACCCATTGTGTCCATGGCCCCACATTATTCGCCCGTCATTTCTACACCGGGCGTGGAAGGAAGCCTAGAGCTAAGTCGTGCCCATACCGGTGTCGCACGACGGCCGAAGCTTTGACATCACGGTCGCGAGCGGGCGTGTCTGCGTGTTCATCTCGACGCAGTAGTCGTTGCACGCGTTCTTCGTCCAACCGATATCGGGAAGGCAGCCGAGCTACAGACGCGCACGATACAACACCCATCCACCATAGCCCCCCGGTGTTGTACCGCGGCGCAAAAAGGCTTGCAAAAAAAAAACAAAACTCCTAGTAGCTGGTGTATCTGTGTATCTCCACACCACAAATCCCTAAAGGAAATCGAGCCGCAGCGTGAACCTGGACACCGAATAGTATCAAAAGGTACACCAGGACAAGACCCCTGGCGCGCAAAGCACCAACACCAACCTTCGGGTAGTACCCCATGCTTGAGTTGACAGTCCCTCGCGTTGTCGACGTCGACCTGCCGGGCCTCTCCTGGTCGCCTGCCCCGAAGCCATGCCTGCCACCACCACCCGCGGGCGGGGGCGGAGGCGGCTATTTGTTGTTGTTGTCGACGTCGTTGCATCAGGTGGAGGGTGTTGTTTCAGTCCGCCCGTGGCAACACAAAGAGCGTGTACAGTAGGCGGTGTGCGCGACGCAGGGCGGGGGTGGGTGGGGGGGGGTACTCTTATGTTTTGCATGCCTTAGCGGCTTGGCCATTGACCACGCGTCCTCGAGAGGACGGAGCACTAGCATTGGACCGATCACCGATGGCCAATCGTTCTTTCCTACTTGGCCAAAGGTGGCTCAATAATGTTTCCCCTAGCCTATCTATCCTATTGATTGACACACGGCGGAGAGGAAGAAAAAAACAACGGTGACCTCAGTGTTAGACGAACTAGGTGTGTTGTAGCAGCGCCACCTGCCGCGTACTGAAACAACAACGGTCGGAGACGTTCTGAAGTAGAAAACACTTGCACTGCTGTTGCTGCGAAGTACATATGTCAATGCAGTACACAATAGTTGCTGGCGACCGGCCAGAAAATTGGCATGCCCAAGCGGAACTTTCCCCAGCGGACCATTCAACGGGGTTCCATGCGGCAGCAGCAGCAGCAGCAGCTGCAGCTGCAGTGCCGCACTCCCACGATGGGAGTTACATGTGTCTTTTCTGTGCAGCAGCAGTACAACGCCAAACAAGAACGAAACGTTACCCGCGGGCGACCCTTCCTGTGTACGTATGCCTTGCTTTTTATGGGGCAAGTAATGAGCGCGAGAGTAAGTCGCTAACGTGATCACGACGAGAACATCAGCGAGCAGCCGGCCGGTGACTCAACCTGAGCATTTCCTGGGACATTCCACGCCCTGCTGCTGCTGTGGCACACCAGCCATCGGGATAGTACGAGGAAAATAGGAGCAGCATTGGAAACTTCTCCACTACACTGCTCTAAACTTTTGCTACCTGTGCCCGATGAAGAGAAACAGGAACAAGTACGCACAAAGGGTGGCATAACCTAATGCACCTCGAGCGTTTCTAACGACATGTGTACGACCGCGCCCCCTAGTTTGGGCATGGAACGCAACAACCAAAACCCGCTCTCTCAGGCAGGCAGGTTCACACAGGAGGTGTTGCTGTGGAACATGCATACACGCGCAACACTCAAAGAGGCCGATTCCCTTTTTCCAACTCCAGCTCGAGAGGGGAAACGCAGGATCAGATCGCAAACAGCAACCACGGATAAGGTGCTGGATGGAACACAGGGAAGCGATGGCGGCTCCTTGCCGATTGACCAACGCCCCATCTCTCTGAGTGCTGGGGGCTCCCGCCCCCGAAAAAGTCGGTTGCACACAACACTCGCTTTATGTATCGAGAGAAAGAATTGCCCTCCCGTTCTTCCTCCCAGGTCCACCACGCAGCAACCTCTACCCTATCATAGCAATGTCCACCGAGCAGAGCCCGGGGGAGTTGTTTCACAGATCCTTCCGTTGTGTACCCACCCCATCCCTTTGCCTTTAGGGTCGGGGGGGGGGGGGGCACTGAACAAATGGAGATTGGAGCAAAAAAAGAGCCAACGCACCTGGTTCGCCATGCCTTGCCAGCCCCAAAGCCCTGTTTGTTGCGCCTGTGCACGCGCTCACCCCGACACAATCGACCCCTCAGCCCCAACGGGTCTCTCTGCAGCCTGGTACTCAACAGCTGTCGCGACAACGTCGGTGTCTTTAGTGTTTCTGTGTACCTGTGCACCGGGCGGCTGCTGTGCGCCGCTCTCAGTGGCTGGGGCGTTAGGGGGGAGGGGGCTCTCTGTGCTGCGGAGCCCCCTTGCAAGCTCGCCAGCTTTGGCGTGTCATGTGTCATGGTGTATGTTACGACTCACCACGCCGTGCCACCGCCGATAATCGATTGTCGCGCACTCCACCCTCTGCTAGGTCAGAGATGGACGAGCTGTGAATGGCTACAGCACTCTGGAAGGGTGTTACCCATCCAAGAGTATTTTCTTTGTCGATTGTCGTTACGATGGACAGAGTAAGAAGCCACATCAAAATGCCCCGAGAGCGGAGTATCTGGAGTACAGGGTCGTCAGTAGTATGGGATGCAATACTTCTTCTAAGATTGCAAGGCCCTCTGTGGAGGTATATTCTCGTGCGCAAAGCTTTTTTTATTGGGAGAGCTGGCGGCACGTAACCCGACATGCTCCGGCGGCGACACATCAGGGCATTGTCGTATTGGTTTTGTGCACCTCATGAAAAAATATACAACGTCACGTGTCAGACAACAGATAACTGTTGATGTTTGGTTTGGGTCGGATTGTCGGCAACACGAAAACCGCAAGCGAATCAAGTTCGATGTCGAGGTCTCGTTTTAAAATACGGTTGATCCCAAGCAGTGCCTGATTCCCTTCATTTACCCAGTAGATGCATGTGCCGTGTCTACACAAATACTTTGTCCCACCGTCCAAAACAAATTCCAAGCAAGCGTAGAATGGGGGCGGGAAAGAGTGGGGGCAAAGAAAAACGCGCAAAGGCCACCGAATCGTCGTGTGTTCCGACAGGAATACTCGTCGTACATACGACCGCAAAGCAGAAGCACGGAGATATATCGTAAGTTTGCGAAGAAACGAAACAATGGTGTGGACGCGGATGAGGACGAGCAGGGGCGACGCACTTGAATGGTGATGATACACACACGTAGATACCGAAAATGACATCCACCAGATCGTTTCATCTTGTTCGCATAAAGAAGGAAACACAGCCTTGCAAACGGCTTCCTCACCAGACTGATGGACGTGCGTAAGCCTGAACCGCCATAACTAGCGTGTTACACAAGAAAAAAAACGAAGCGAGAAGCACGTCAAGCTGAATGCCGACGCAGTAAATTAATATGAACGAACCACGCTTCCAAACAAGCAGGACGCCAATGCCCGACAACTTGACCAATCAGGAAGACTCGTAAAGTTGCGCAACTTTGTCTTGACTTTACGGTGTACACAGCTATAGCTAAGACAGCGAGACCTAGTTGGTACTCTCCCCTTGTGAGGGTCACAGAAAAGGTATGCTGGCATCATCCACAATGCAACTCCGAAATTCAAACCCCAACAGTTAACCGACAATCCTTTGCACCCGTTCAGAACGCTACATTGACCAACTTACATAGGCAGCGCAAGCACCAACAAGGTAAAAAAGTGGGCACAACGGCAAAACATACAGGTGTGACAAATAGTAGGATCACGCAACTTTACAGCACCAGGCCAGCAGTTTCTTGCTGGCGTCGCAGGCTCTGATAAATCTCCCCCATCCTGTACATGAGCGCCAGCGCCTCCTTGGCGCTCTTGGTGCTAGGCCCGTCACCGGCGCGCTCTGCACCCAGTGCCCTCGCCGCGTCGCCCACGTCCGCCACAGCCTGCCTCATGGGGTAGATCTCGCGCGCCAGCCGCGCCGCGGCATCCCCCTGTTGCCTCACACCGATCTCCCCGCTCCCGCTGCCGCCGCTGTTACCAACGCCTGGTTCTCGCCCCCGACCGTTCTCTGGCGACGAAACCAGCAGCGACCCCGCCCGACGCACGAGAGCCTCTCGGACGAGCGGGGCCATCGCCGCGTGCGAGCACGTTACGGCGACTTCCGCAGCCGTGGGCCCCGCCGCTGCTCTCGCCCGACCGTCACCTTCTCCTCCAGCCGGCGCGCAGTCGGTCGCACGGACAATCGCAACTTGCCCGGCCACGCGGACGGCGACTTCCGCCTGACCGTCGCCACCGCCGCCGCCGCCACCTGAAGCTAGGGGTGGCGGCGTCGTCAAAGGCGGTACCAGGAGAGCCAACAGCGCACCGGCGTCACGGTCCGGGCACCTCACGTGCAACCGGAAGCTGCTCCACGAAGCCGGCACCGCCGGCCGCGCCGCGGTCGAGACCGCCCGCATCCCCCCGCTCGCGTTCCCGGCACCACCGCCGCCGCTGCCGCCGCCGCTGCCGCCGCCGCCGCCGCCACACCCCCCTTTCCGGCCACCGGCGGCAGAGGGAGACCCGCCGAAGACGTCAGCAATCGCCAAGTCCGGTCCGCAGAAGCTGGAGCCGCGGCCGCGAGACGCCGCGCGCACGGCGGCGGCGCTTCGCGGGACGGAGGGGAGCCTGACTCCCCAGTCCAACACGTCGAACCGCGAGCTCCCGAGCTCCACGCAAACCCCGGCAGCTTCGTCATGCGCGTTTTCTCCCCCAGTACCGCCGCCGGGACTCCCGCCATCCCAATCACCGCCGCCACCGTTCGCGCCGTACCGGAACTGCAGCCACGAGGTGACGGTTACTGGTCGCGCGGAGGGCAGAGTGAGCGCAGCCGAACAGCTCCAGGGCCACCCCTGGCACAACGGACCCATCGGCACCATGGAGGACGTGGACCAGGCCCACCCCTCTCCCACGTTCTCGTCACCATAGCCGCCGCCGCCGCCGCCGCCGCTACCGGTCCCACCGTCCTCCTCCACGATCCTGGTAACGACGAACCATCGGCCGGCGCCGCCGTCTTCCCCCTCGGCGACGGTCTGAAGCTCCCCGCTCGCGCGGCCTCCCTCTCGAGGCCACAGCCGAACGCACAGCCGCACGCGGAGGGCGTCGGCCTGGACCGCTCCCGGGCCGCCGCCGTACGCGTCACCAAACCCGGCGGCTTCCTGCTGCGTGTCCGGGGCCATCGAGACGCTGTGCCCCAAAGTTTCCGACGGCGTGTGTGAGGCACCACCGGTCCCGTTCCCGTTGCGCGCGCTTGCGCTAGCGGCGGCGAGCGGCGGCAGCAAAACGGTCGCTCCCCGAAGGACGCGGATCTCTCGATCTCGCTCCGCCGACACCGCGGAGAGCGCCGCGCACTGCCTCCCCAGGCTCGACAGCCGCTCCAACTGGCACCGCACACGGCGCTCCACGCCGGCTCCGCCGCCGGCCCTCACGCCCCCCTTCCCCGTGTCCAAGCTCCACCCCTCCAGCTCCCCCACGGACTGCGGGGCCATGAACCCCACGAGTCTACCTCCCGCCGAGAACGACAGCACCAGAGTCCGTAGGAAGCCAGCGGTGGTGTCGGAGGAAGTCGTGCCCGCCCCTTCGGCGGCGGCGGCGAGCACCGGCGCCACGGCCACGCCGACCGTGTCGCAAGGGAGCGGCAGGCGCACCGGGCGAAGAGGGAGCACCGCGGGGGAAGCGCCGCGCACGCCGACTCTCGTTGGACGGCTTGAGAGCTGATGCGCCAGCGACAGGTTGTCCGCCTCCGCGGGGCCGCCACTTGCCATCGGCAAGGCGGTGGCGAACAGGGCGCCGGCGTGACAATGCACCAGAAACCCGGGCGCGGAACAGGCAGACGCGACTGGAAAGGGCAGCCCGAGACGGCGCCAACACACCGACGGTGGCGGGGCTTGTTCACTTCTTGTCTCCACCAGCTGCGCTGCCGCCGCGGCCGCCCAACCAAAATCTTCCGTCGCGGTCGTGCTTTCGCCTCCTCCCGTTGCTGTCCCTCCGCCCGCCATCGCCTCGACATCGTCGGGTCGTGGCCGTTTCCGAGAAATCTTGCCGCGGCATGATCCAGCACTGCCAGCAGCAGTGAGGCTCAACAACGTCCCGTTGGCGCCGACGACCAGCACCCCGATTGCTCGCGACTCGACGTCCAGCTCCGGCAGGGTGGCAACGACCGCCGTCTTCTCTCCAGGAAGACAGGCGAGAATGCCGCCGGAAACCCCAGCGAGCGGGGGCACCGGCGACCACCGCACACTTCCCGTCCCATCGCCCACCAACACCACCGTCGCCGTCTTCGTCCTTGCAGCGGAAAGGTCAGGCGATTGCCCTGTAGGGCGTTGCGTCGGTGACGGAGGAGCAGCCCCCCGGCGGCGGGAGAGCTCTGCGCCGAACAACAAGCGGAACACCGACAGGGGTAGCGGGAAGCCCTTGCCGTCGCCCAAGGCGGCACTTCCGTCTTCCGCCCAAACCGTGCAAGATGTCGTCGGCGCAGCGCCGTCGATGCCATCGAGAGCGCCGAGGTGCCGTCCTACCAGCGTCGGGGTCTCGCTCCGAACGTCGTACGAAGCGGCGCGGTCGATGATGCCGGCGACCGCAGCGGTCGCTCCGTCTCTACAAGCTGCCATGGTCCTCGCGCCGAGATGCGTAAAGACGGCCCACCGTTCTTGCGCTTGCAGGACGAGCCTTCCTAATAAAGTATCACCGACGGCGGTAACAGCAGCAGGGGCGCCCGTCGCGCCCCCTCCCCCTCCCCCAGTTTCGCTATCCTGCTGCTGCTGCTGCTGCTGCTGCGCTGCTACCGCCTGTTCCTGAGAAGGAGGAGATTCCTGCGACTGGTCAAGGACAGTGGGTGCCAGGTCATCGAAGATACCTACGGCTGCGGAAGAGGAAGACGAGTGGCGGCTGCGTTGCTTCCGCCTGCTCGCCCCCGACGAGGTTGCACCGGCAACTTCGCCGCCGCTGATAGCAGCAGCCACTGCTAGCGGGGCTTGCTTCGATTTGCTTTCGGGTTTTCCCGCGCGACCAAGCGCGTCCCCTCCTCGCTCTGGTGCTTCCAGAACCTCCGCAGCCGGCAGGGCGTAAGCGGTCCCGTCCCGACATGCGGCCACGCACAGGGTGCCGGTGCTCGCAGCAGCAGCTGCTGCTGCTGCTGCTGCTCCTGCCGAAGATCCCCAGGGCACTCCTGCGATATCTATCACCGGAGACGGAAACTCGACCACCCTGCAGAGCTTGCGTCCCCAGAACACATGGAGAGAGCACGGCTGCGCCCTTACTACTACGACGGCATTGGAGAGACGGGACAGGGGCTGCGTGCTGCTGCTGCTGCTGGCGCGGTCGCGGCCGTGCGGTGGCTTTGGAGCGCACAGCAGGTGTCTCATGAGGATGCCGCCGCCGCCGCCCGCAGCATGATGATGTTTTTGAACGGCTACTGTCGCCGTTGCTGCGAACACGACCGAGAAGGGTCGAGGCTCTTCTTCCTCTACCACATGTTCGGTCTGAGCTGCCGCAGTGTCCCCCATGCCCCATCCAAACCGATGCCTGTACTGCCACGGTATTGTGGAGCACTATGCTGTTGCTGTGTGGGGAGTTTGTGGTGGTGCCCCGCGGCCGGGCTTCATCCGAGATGGGGTGCAAGAAATGCTGCCCGAATCGGTTAGAGTTGTGCCGCACGAAAGTGTTCTCGACAACCAGTGTTGCCGTTATCTCAGTCACAACGGTACAGCAGTATACGCAGTAGAGGAGAGGGAGAGCGACAAAAACAGAGGGGGGAGCAGACCGAGAGAGAGAAAACACATGCTTCCCCGCAATCGTGTGAAAGCATGAAACCTGTTGACGGCAGCACCGAACGCTCTGTTGTGGAAGTGTCCAAGCACAAGAGCAGCCGGCGCGATGATCAAACGCGCCGCATATCCCTTTCGAGCGGGCCAGGCGTGAACCCCTATCCGCCTCCTCGGTCCCGGGAGCACCGAGTCATGCTCTCGCGTGCGCTGGCTGTTGCCGTCGTCGCGCTGCTGTGGGAACTGGTGGTGCGATGGCGTAGACCCCAGAACACGCTGCCCTCGAACGGCAACAGCGCTCGGATTTTCGGCGCGGCGATGGTCTGTTGCTGGGTGCTGCTGTGCATGGGGAAGTCCGCTGCGGAGGAGGCGCTGTCGGTCAAGGTTTGCCAGAAGCTGCGCGAGAAGCTGGAGGATTCTTTCAAAGGAGGAAAATCTACAGTAAGCGAGACCTGGGTTCGAACGGGTGTGGCCACGGAGGTTGGGTTTGGTTTGGTTGTCGCTCTGCCGACGTCAACGACAGCTCGTCATGCAGACAAGGAGATCTCAGGAACAGACTCCGGCGAAGCTGGTGGCACCACCTCCAACGGCGTGCCACCTCTCAACACAGAACCTGGGCATCTCTTGGCGGTAAGCCCGGGGTGTTCATTAAGCGGGCGGGGTTGGAGATCAAGAGCACAACTTACGACAACTTGGCCACTGGTTATTGCGTGCGCGGTGCAATAATGACGCAAGCAGGGGCACCGAGCAGCAACGTCGCAGTCAGCAGTAGCGCTCGCGCACCGCGGTGAAGGAGCAGCCGTAGCAGAGGTCGTAGCAACACGAAGCCAGCACGCCCAGCATTGTTGTTCTCGTTATCCTCCAATATCAGCAGTGTGTCGAGAGCGTGAAGAGCCGCACAGACCTCGGGTTCCGACGGTACGTATTCGGTCTACAGGCAGTACTGCTGTGGTACACCTGGTTTTTTTCGCTGCTTGCTCGTTATCTGCCTCCAGAAAATAGCCCCATGTACAACGGCAGGGAAGCGAAGATTGTGTGGAAAGATTGGCTCTACGACCAGGTGCTTCGGCATCCGCCGACACATCGAATGCCGAACACACACAGTTTGCGCCGCAGCGGTTCGTAGTATCTGACTCGGGGCAAGAGGGGGCTGTTGATCACCGGCCGCGGGTGTACTGCTGTTGTTACGCACTGCTGTAGCGGATGGATCCAGGTTACAAGACATGGAGCGGGCCGTTCGCCAACCGCTTGTCCGGCAGTAGTCGTGAAGCGCAGTCCCTCTCCCTACCAGCCTGTGTTCCCCACCCCTGAGTACCCCCGTCTGGACCTCCACCCTGATGACTCCGGAACGCTGGCACCAACGTAGCTGAGTCAAACAAGCTGCGGCCCCCGAAATAAACCCGCGCTCGGCAACCGATTAACAGATGAAGTGGGTGTTCCTGCGCTTCAAGCTGGCGAGCTTCCTGCCCTGGTCCGACGTCCGTCGGATCCCGCTCGTCCGGGTAGGCGGGTTGTCCATTAACGTCACCGAGTCGCTGAGCAGCAGCAAAGGGAGAAAACACAACAAGACCAGCGGAAGCATCGGTGATAGCGGTAGCGGCAGCAACAACGCGTCGGGTGTGGGCGACAGCAGCCGCGGTAGCGGTGGCGGTGGCGGCGGCGATACCGGTCGACACAACGAAACGGACAACTTTCCCAGCGCTGATTGGTTGGAAGGCAGAGAACAGGACCTCCAAGAGAAGGAAGGAGCAGCAGCAGTAGCAGCAACAACCATGGGGCGCGTGGGTGCAGGGGGAAGAGAGAGCACCAGCGGCAGCGGCGGCGGGAGTCAGACAAGGAAGATTCGAAGGCCACTACTTTTGTCACAGCAATCGTCACTGTTCGACAAGATGGACTCGTGGGCTCACCAGGGTCGGCGGGCATCGCAGAGGCGCTCTTCGCACGTCGAGTCGGACGTCAGCGGCAGCGGTAGCCGCGGTGACGGTTACGAGTGGGAACGCGTGGCCCAGGCTACCCTCGAACACGCTTTCGGGCACGAGTTTACCGCCAAGTATCAGGTGGGCTTAATTTCTGAATTTTTCCTTCTTCTTGGTGATGTGGTTCCCGATTTTTCGGGGGTGGGAGGGTTGAGAGTCGCAGGGGCGCGAGTAGGCCATGCGGCAGCAGCGGTAGGCGTACGCGCATATACAATGTGTGTTTACTGGGGTCGACCGCTCTAACCGGTTGACCAATGAAAAGCGGCCAGTCTTAGGGCGGCTACATCCGGAAAACTCTTCTAGAGGCCATGATCTGGGCCCCCCGTGAGGGGGGGGTCACGAGGGAGGTCATGTTATTCTCCGGGTTGAAGACGTGTGTGCGTGTGTTTCGTGCCCGTTCCTCCTGCGCGTACAAAGTGTGGGGATCTCAAAATGAAGAACCCGCAGTCTTCCTGTTTACCAACGTCACTCGTTCTATCTCTACGTCTCTGACGTCGCGTGATGCTAGAAAGCGATTTCCGTGGAGGGATCGATCCCTGCTCGACGGTTGATCTTTTTGCGTTCTGCCGTCGAATATTGGAGTGCCGATGATGGTGACAAACGACCGACAGTCAGTGGCGCCCGTAAGGCACTGATGTTGCTTTCGCTTGCGTGGATACTGCTATGCCCTCGGGCCTAGCCCCGCCCTCCTCATCTCCCGGCCGATCTCGATGCACCTCTTGTTTCTCTTCCTCTCTGCCCTTCGCATGTGTTCCTCGGGTTGGAACGGCAAGGGTTGAGAAATATAGTGAACCATCATCGTCCGGGATCATTGTCTAAAACCTTTTTTCTTTTGTGCGTGAAACGAGTGCTGTGCGTCAAGGTTACATGTTTGGAAAAGCAGGGCACAAGTAGCCGTGTTTGGTTGGCCATCCCAGAATATGTCAAGCAACAAACCACCCCCCCGCTCCCCCACCCTCGCTCGAACTGCGGGTGTGTGTGATGATCTCTCTCGAACACGCCTCCGCGACAGATGTACACGGAAGAGGCGGCAAGCATAATGCGGCGTCTTTCCAGGATCTTCGTCAACCTCATGAAGGTAAGGACAGGGACGGGTGGGGCGGAGCGAGCTGATCGGTCGGGCTGATGGCAAAGGAGGATCGAGGGTCGCCAGCGAGGCTTACCCTCTTGCTCTCTGCCGGCGCACTATTTAGGTGTGCCGTTGGGCGGTGACGGCGCCTGGTTATTGCTCCTACCGTTTTTGGGGGGTCGCCTTTGGTGGGTGAATCGGGTCGGTGGCTTGTACTCCGTGGGTGATATTTTTCACGCACCCGCAGGCTGGAGGTGGCTGCGAAAGGGATTGATCAGCAGCTGGGTATGTTCCTGTGCTCTACGTGCATTCTCGGTTTGTAGGCGGCAATGCCTGTGATGTTCTAGGAAGTCGATCGCTCCTTCGTTCTCGCTGCTATCGTCTGATTTGTTGGGAAGATCACAACCAGAACCACGCACTTTTTTTGGTTCAGTACTATTTGTGACGATGACCATGAAGAAGGATCACATCTCTTCAATGTCTGTCGAGTACGGTTGATTCCCTCGTTTCACAGTACGACTCACTTCCACACGCTCCTCCCTCCCCCTTCCCCATTATCTGCCCTCGTTGGCGCTTCTCTGGGATGGGCGGACGGACACCCCCGTAAAAAACATGGTTGTCGCGTATGCCAGCGGTATGTTTTAGGGGAGATCGTGCTCCAAGATATGTCAATCCAGCTGTCCGCGGCTGTGTGGAGAGACTTGACGTCCTCGTTTTTCCAGTGGGAAGGGGCTTCCGTCGTGCGTGAACTGGTGAGAAATTAGCTCACAGGGGGGGGCCAAACGAAACCAGGGAGATGGAAGAGGGACAATAAATGAGGACCGAGACCAATCGGAACAGAGGTAGAGAGCAAACATATACTCCTTCGTCTACTCGCTTCGTCGACCGACAACGACAGAGCGGCCAAACGCCCCAACACCGCTGCTGCGTGTTCAACCAGTTTGATTTCGCGCTACACAGACGTGTGGTGCTGGTTGCCAATCACCCTCTCGAGCAGACCTATTTCGCGTCCCCACCCGTTTCTTCGCGAGTGTATTTTCCCAAAGAAACACCATCGTGCAGTGCAAACACCTTCCGCTGGCAATGCATGACTTTCCCGCCGCCGCAAGTGTTATTTAGAGGTTCGGCGCGAACATTCGTGCCCACCGAACGCACCCATCTTGCCCCCACTCTTCCTCATCCCGGTTTCGCCATCGCCACAACAACAACAACAGCTGCCCGCCCGCGGGGTGGAGTTCCGGTTCGACGTGAGTCTCACCGCATCTGAGATGGGGTGTGCCTCGGGCTCGAGAACGGCGTTAGAAATCGTCACAGCCCTCACGAAGCGGACCATGCTCCAGCTTGGTCGGTAAGATCGCGCGCGGGAGCGTTTTTTTTGTCCGAGTCTTGTGTCAGTCGAAGTGGTCTTGCGGTGGTTCTGGTGTTTGTTTTTTTTTTGTCAGCCGCCATGGTAGTCTTGATGTTGGACCACGCGTTTTTGTCCCCGTTGAGAGTTTGGAGTAGCTCTTTCGTGCATCACGCCTGATTCTCTGTTCCTGGTGAGTACAATAGGCTTGCGACGTTTCAAATGCTCGTTGGGAGGGTGGGACGGGGGAGCTGTGTGTCCGCGCCCGTCCCATTCAAACCCTCACTATTCCATGTATTTTATCTTGCAATCTGTCTCTCTCTCGCTCTCTCACGCTGCCACACCCAAGCACCCTGCGCTGGAGTGTGACTTTGCTCTATGTCTATCTCACCCTTTTTCGTAACCTCCACGGCTCCAGCCCCCTCCCCCGCCCCTCCATAGATACCTCCTGTCTCTCACTCACTCACTCTCTCTCTCTCTCTCTCTCTCTCTCTCTCGCTTACCTCTCTCTCTGTTTTGCTTACCTCCCTCCCCCTCCTCCACTACGCCAATCTACCCTCCTATAGAGTAGTGCTATCAGAGGCCAGGAGGGCCCTGTTCAACCGCGAGAGCGTTGTCGAGATCTTGGTCAACTCCATCATCCACAAGGACGGCGGCTCCGCGGCTGCGGCGGTGGCAACAGCGGCGGCGGCTGCGGCAAGGGTAGAGAAGGGTCAAGACGGAGTAGGGGCTCCGGGGGAGGGGGGGGGCGAGGGGGGGCTGAGGCGTGTTGGCGACGGCGAGGGGAGGCGGTCGGGCGTGACGCTCGTTGGAGTGGTGAGAAGGACTTGCTTACCGTTAATATTCAGCCGGTCTGGAGACGAGAGCTTTTTTTTCGCTGCAACAGAATGAAACACAACGTGGCCAAGCACCACATTCCGTAGAGGGGCCGACCGATCCAGGGACCCGTCAACAATATTACAAAAAGAGAGAGATGTTTGCACCAAAGTCACGCCTGGGAAGCTGACATACCTCTATGAGACCCCTCCCCTACTTTGGGGGAGAGTCTCACAGATAGGGGAGGAGTCTCAAAGAGGTATGTCAACTTCCCAGGCGCGATTTCGGTGCAAACATCTCTCTCTTTTTTAATGTTCTTGATGGGCCTCTGGATCGGTCGGCTCCTCTACGGAATGTGGTTCCGCGAAATCACGCAAGGGTGCTATACCACACAACCTGGAGCATGCAAATACTCAGGGTGCTAGCCAGTTTGGAGATAACTCATTTTACACTGCAAGAATCAACACAAGCAGACAAGCACCACATTCCGTAGAGGAGCCGACCGATCCAGCCCACCAAGCACAACAACCGCACGAGAGACGCTTGCACCGAACGACGCTTGGGAAGTTGAAAATACTTATGTGAGACTCTTCCCGTGTCTATCAAGCGATCGAAACAACTGCCAAGCACACACCTGTAAGAGGTGCCAAAGTTGCGTGTGAGTTTGTAAGATGTCAATATTGTTTCATTTTTGTGGTGCTGGTGTTGTTGATGCTGCTATCGTCATCATCGTCATGGGATCTGTTTTTTTTCATTTCGATGGCGCTACTATGTAGTACACGGGCCCACCTCTCTCCACCCCCCCCCCCCCCTTTCCTGACGTCCCTCCCCTGCCTAACATTCCATCTATGCTCTTCGAGAACCTTTTCTTTTTTGTCACGATGGCTTCCCCCCCCCCGAACACTACTCATGCCAATCATCGCCGTGTCAATACCGCTGCTGCTTCTCCTCCCAACGTTGATGCTCCCCGCCCCGTGAACGGAAAAACTAAAATGACGTCGCGAAACCTTGTCGGCGCCTGAAGCTGGCGAAGGGGGTGGCCACCATTGCGGAGAGGAAACGGGTGGCGGAGGTGCTGACGGTGCTGAAGCACGCGCTGTTTAAGGCTATCACGATCAACGCCGGCGGCGACGACCCCGACGAGGGGAACAAGGTTCGTTGGCTTGTGGCCCCGACACGCCACCGCGGTATATGGTGGCACGAAGCGGTGGATGGATTTTGCGCGGCGTGAATTTCGTTCGGGGTGTTCCTTGCAAGGGTAACCGTCCGTGCCTGTGTTTCGTGGTTCTTTGCAAGCGTCAAGCTCGTATTTAGTCGTTACCGAAGATGTTCCTTTTTTTTTTGTTTCCGCAGAAACGTTCTTACCGCGGAATCCATCATATCCTCGGTGCGAAGCCTCAAGTAGCCGCGGTCCAGAGGATGTTAACAGGTGCACCATACACGTCTCGCCCAGCAGCGCACTCTAAATACCCTCCCTCTAAGCTATGGCTTGTTTTTCCGATCAGTGTATTCAGTTGCAGACGGATCGAAAACAAGGCGGTAGGACAATAAATCCCACTTGATACGACCAAAATAGACCCACACAAATAGGCCCACTTGATGCGAGCGGAATAACTCACATGGTTCGAACGCTTAGATCTCGATCTCAGGGCTCCTTTTCCCATGCCTTCTCGCTGCGTTTTGTTGGCGGTAGTGACGGCGTTGTTGTTTTCACTCGCTACGGTATCGCTGTGACTGTCGGTGCGGCCGCCCCTTTTTTATGTAGTATCACTGTGACTTGTTGATTGTGGTTGAAATATTGTAGAAGTTTTCGATTTGTTGGTGACTTGCTTGATTGCTGTTTCCGCCGTAACAGGGACTGGCGGCCCTCCTGGCCAACACGGAGGTAGACCGCGGCTCCGGCTTGGCAAGAAAAACGAGCCTGACCTCTTCCTCTTCGGCGAGCAACCTTGCCGGAATTTCGAACAGCACCGGCGAGGGGGGCTGTGAAGAGACCGGGAAAGTCGGCAGCAGCGGCGTGCTGGTGTCGACAACGGCAACGATCTCCACCGGAAACGCCGATCCCAATAGTAGCGGCGGGGGTCGCCGCCCTCGTCGCCGCTGGAGCGGGAGCGGGGCGGGGGTGGGTGGTAGCGGCGGGGGGTTCGGAAGCGGGGGGGGGGGGGGTCAATCGATACGGAGAAAGGGGTCTAGGGGGGTTTCGTGACGTGGAAGGTGAGGCGATCCGAGGTGGCCGCCAAGGTTTCCGAGTTGGTGAGGATTGCAAGGATCTGGTGGAGGCCCTCAAGATCGTTCGGCTCGTGCCAGGTTTGTTTTGGGTTTGGGATAACGGCAGTTGGGGAACCAAAACCGGGCGGGATTGTTGTGATGGCGGAAAGGAGGATTATTCTGGCTGATGCTGCTGCTACGTGTGCGTGGGTGTGGTAACCTACCGGGTGCGCCAGAGCTTTCTGGAATATGGTAGCTGGCGGTACCAGTTTGTGTGAATGTCCTGACTTGAGAGATGGTTATACTTTGGCTGCATGAGTCGACGTGCGTGGCTCAATCGAGAAACGTCGTACCGTACGGTTACTCGTTTTTGGCGCACAAAGAACATTATCTTCGTTCTCGATGCATTGTGGCCTTCAAAAGAAGGGCTGGCGCCGCACACCTCCCTTAAAAGCGAAATTATCCTACGTCTGCGACAACGCCCCCCCCCCCCCCCCGGACCCCCCAAAAAAAAAACAATCCCCCCTTCCTAACCAAAAAAAAAAACACAAAGTATCCCCCCATAAAATTTAAAACCGGTGGGGCTTATCCCTATGCCAACCCCTGTAATCCAAAAAAAAACAACTGCCCCCGGGGTCTTTTTATCCACCCCCAATTTTTATGGGCCCCAAGGAAAGGGGCCCTTTTAAATGGGAACACCAACACCCCCCCCCCCCCCCCCCCGAAACCCCCCAAAAAAATACCCCCCAGGGGGCCCCCCCCCGGAAAAACCGGGGGCCCAAACCTTTTTCCGGCCCCAACTGCCCCAACCCCAAAATTAACTGGAAAAAATGAACCACTGGAACCAACGGAAAACCCTCCGGGGGGTCCTGGAACCGGGGAACCACCAAAAGGCCCGGGCACCCCCCCCAAACCAAAAAAATATTTTGCCTGGAAA